CTATTAATTATAATTAATATATAATCTAAGTGATTATTATCAATAAATTACTTAATATGATTTTAATTATTTAGTTTATATATTAATTATAATTACTTTAGTTATATATCAATTTATATTCTTTTTATTATATATCGATTAATATTACTAATTTATATTATTATATTCTTTAGTTACCAATAGATATATAACTCTCTATTTTTTTTTTGATGTACCTTTTTATTTGAAATTTTTAAATAGGTTTTTATGTTTTAGTTTCTTAGTATTATATGCCTAATGGTTTTATTGTAAGTTTGTACTAAAGTCTTATGCAATACTGATTATTTAATATTTCTTTATATATATGTAACATTATACTTTATATAGATGTTTCAAGCTTCTACATTACCAAATTTTTTTTTTTGCTTATGCTAAGGCTGTAATTATTGGTAACTATTGCTTTTATTATATTTTAATTATAATTACATAACTTGTACAAGGTGAGTATACAACTAGCCAAATGTACAACTTTTAGTTGTCTATTTTAAGTAGTTTATCCATACAGCAAGTTCTACACTAGCTGTATATCTGTAATTTACTAGAAGATTATCTATTTAAATACTTGGATTTTTATATTTATATTAACAAATAGCATACAAATTCTTGTACATCTAAGTGGCATCTAATCTAACTATAACCTTCCTGTCTGTACATCTGTCAAGTCATTATATATTTCAGAGTATGTTACCTGACTGTAAAGCTTCAGAAGGCTCCTCTGCTAACTAACTATCTATATTTAGTCTCTTGTTAACAGGGTTCACCTTTGCAGAGTTTACCTAAATCCTAATATTGACTTCATAACATATTCTTAGTACTTATAATATACCTCTGCTTTTGACTTCAAACTTCCAATTCAGATAGCCTGATAGGATTATAACCTGTTTTTAGTATCTTAGGATCTGTCTTTCAAGGTTTTTTTTCTTCGATTCGAGACTTATGATAGTCTGGTTAATGGTACCTCTTATCTGAAGTTCTTGCTTGCCCAATTTCTTTTATATTAGTATTCATTTTCTAGATCTAGTCTTTACAATAGTACTGTTGAAGATCTGTGCTATTTTTCTACTCGAGTCTTTTCAAGTAAATTCTGATTTTTTCAATTCATAGATTTATATAATCATGAGGACTTATCTTGGATTTGCATTGCCTGATGCTAGTTTGCATTTCACTATATAACTCTAATATTGTGCAGATGCCCTATGACCTGCCAGTTATGCTAATATGATTGTGCTACAGATATCTGATCCCAACTGATCAACAAAATGCCATTGCTGTAATATTACTTACCTTTCATAATACTGATATAATATAGGTAGTTTTTCAAATTTTTATTATTAGTGAGTTTTGAACTCTCAATCTATCACTTGAGAGGTTGACAACTTATTTACTTCACTAAGTCACTACACCCTTCAACAAATTTTTAAAAGTGCTATATATTGATAATAATGTTCATATTATTATTAATATATAGCATCCTTATAAGGTATTATTGTAAATAATATATAACAAAAATTACTAAATTTACTTAATCTTTTATATTAATTTTTATGATAACTACTAATTCAAATTGGTTTAAATTTTTACTATAGATAGTATATATGTTCAACTATCTTATACTAAAATTTTAACTAATTTAGATTAATAGTTTATAAGAAACTATTTGTAAACGATAGTTAATTTTTTACAAAAAATTAACTATTATTTATAAGTGATTTCTCATGAACTATTAATCTAAATTAGCTAAAATTTTAGTATAAGATAGTTGAATATATATACTATTTACAATAAAAATTTAAACTAATTTGAATTAGTAGTTATTGAAAAAATTAAAGTTAAATTTTAAAAAAATTTAATAAATTTTATAAAAATTGTTACTAATTGATAGTAATAATAATTATTTAATATTATTATATATCAAAAATCACTATTTATCATTAGTGATATATATTGATATATAGCATTTAATTAATATATGAAAGAAGTCAATAGAAAAGAAACAAATTTTTTTTAAATAAAAGTTTTCTTGACTTTAAGTTTAAATATCTCAACAACTATTTTATTAAATTTAATAATTTTTTTTTATTTTAATTCTATATAATTTCAAGATTAAAATAAAAATTTTTTAGCAGATTTAATTAAATAGTTGTTGAGTTATTTAAATTTAAAAATTAAAAAAATTTCACTAAAAATAATTTGACCCTTTTTTATTGACTTCTTTCATATATCAATTATTTTTAATTAATATATATCAATTAAATGCTATATATATTGATATAAATCTGTTTAAAAATTTTGGTGATATATTCAAAATAGTACTTCTAAAATTACAAATTATCTTTTCAATTCAATTGATCAACAAAACACAATTATTATAATATAGATTAATTTTTAAATTTTATTGTAAATAAAATTTGAACCTTAGACCTGTTACTTAAAGAATAATAATCCAACTATTACATTAGAATTACTATCTTCTAATTACTAAATTTATAATAAAATAATTTAAATATTTTAATATAATTATTATTTTAAAATTTTTTTAAAATATTTCAAAATATTTTATATTTTTCTAAAATTTTAAATTTTTTTTAATTTTTTTTAAATTATTTTTAAAAGATTTTGTATAATATAAAAATTTTTAAATTTATTTCATAATATTATGAAATAATTTGTATTATACAAAAATTCTGAAATTAACTCCTTAAATAGTAGATTAGATATTCAAATCCCATCAATGACAAAAATTTGAATAATCACCTATGTAATATTCATATTATGACAACTATTACTAATAATTAGGTTAGGATATCTGTAATAGCAGTTGTACTAATATAACTGTTAGGTCATGAAGCATCTATACAATATTGAAGTTATACAAAAAAATGCAAACTAACAACTAGGTAATGTAAACACTAGATAAGTCCTTATGATCATATAAATCTGTTAAAATTAGATAATAAGAAGTCTATTTAGAAAAATCCAAATAGAAAGGTAGCTGGATTTTTAATAATACTACTGTAAAGACCAGTCCAAGAAAATAGATATCAAGGTCTTAGTAACCAGATAGGTAAGAACCTTTGGGTTAGAAGTCTTAAAGATACTACCAACTAGGCTACCAAAATGAATCAAAGAAAATGATCTAATATATTGATATACTAGTTATAGTTCTATATAGATCATTTGAATTAGAAGTTTGGCAAAATTCAAAAATATACTAAAGTACTAGAATTATGCTATAAAATAGATGCTAGAATCTAAGTAAACTTTATAAGAGCATAATGGTTTAATAATTAAATCCTAACTGCAAGTATTGGTTTTGCTATAGCAATATCTAGGTCAGTTATAAAAATAAATACAAAAAGCTTTGGAAGATTTATCTGAAGAATAAAATAGTTCTAAAGTTGAGATGATAATCTAAATATCTGAGTATGACTCAGTAAGTTAATACAAGTTATAAGCTTAGAAAGTTTAAAGTAAAACACCTAAGCAAAGGTATTAGGTATAGCAATTAGTAAGGAACCTTCAGATGAATTCATTAAATAGGTAATATAAAGAAGTTATATATATAGCTAATTGTATACTTTTCTGTAATAGTTCATAAAATCACATTATTAAAAGTCATTAATAAAAGTTAAAAGACCAAAGAGGTCACCTTAATACCAAAAAAAAAAAATTTAAAAATTTATTTCATAATATTTCAAAATTATTGTGTAATGCAAAATCTTTTAAAATATTTTGTATTTATAATTTTGTTAATAAAAGTACTAAAATAAACTAAGATTATATATAACAAAATAAAAATTATATATAAAAATAAGATCTTAGACTAGTTTATCTGTGCCTTAAACTAAATTATTTTATTTTTATTTTTTATTTTTTTTTGTTATAAGTTGCTATATTAAATTATATTTAAACTATTGATAATTAGACAAGTCTTATTATAAATAATTAATATATAAAGTTAAATTAATAGAAATTAAGCAAATTATTTTTATTAGATTTTTTTAAAAAATTAAATGCTAATAACTTAACAAAAACTTGTCCAAATTTAATAAAAATTTTTTTATTAATTTTATAAAATTCATTTAAAAAATTTTTAATTAAATTTAATTAAGTTGTTGTTAAGTTATTGTTATTCAAAGTTTTAAACAAATTTACTTAGAAACAATTTGCTTTATTTCTATTGACTCAACCTCATATGTATTTGTTTTACAATATTAAAAACATTATATAATTTAAATTAATAAAACAAGGCTGCTTAGGAAAAAAAATAATTAATTTAATAATTATATACTCAAGTTTTTATAACATTTATATAGTAAATATATACCTATTTAAAGAACCTATTAACTTATAGAAGATATATGAATCTACATTCACCCTTTACCTTTAATCATCGCAAAATTTTATAAAGTTTGGAGCAACCAATAATAAAGCATGCTGGCTACATATAATATTGCAGTTCATCTTAAAACAAGCATTAGTTCAAAGAAAGAATAGCTTATTTCTCATAAGAACCCTTTTGTCGTGCACTAACAAAAAGTTTTCTTGAGCAAATTTGCATGTATATTTTTTATTCCTTAACCTTAAATTAAACGCTATCCTAACAGATAAAATTTTAAACAGTTTATACAAAACCCTGAAATTACTAATAGGCTTTTGATATAATGACAACTTCATAGCCAGATCACTTCACTATGACAAGAATCACTTGTATCCCCGGGAGATGCCTATAATTTCCCTTTCAAAAACCGCAATAATATTAACAATTAATCGGATTTTATTTTGAAAATTAATTTATAAATAATTGCTAATTGACCACATTTTTCTAGTTTGGACAAAAAAAAGCTTGGCAGTTTATATAAGAGCTAGTTATAATATTACAAATAATAATAATACTACATATTATTATTATTTACACTATCTTGATCTATTTTATTATACTGTATATTGTTCCTAAAATATTACATTCCATTATCATGATTTAACATATTTGGAAGTCCTGAGGTATTTCCCGCTATACTATTGCTTCCGTAACCGTTACCTGCCAAAGCATTTACACCAATACCATTGCTTCCCATGTTATTGTTACTTGCTAACCCAGTTCCATTATTGCTGATACCGCCGTTATTCATGACGCTGCTTCCATTAGCGCTTGGATATTGGGCCATACCGAAAGTATTTGTGGTACCAAATCCTGCACCACTAGAAATTCCAGAATTACCACTCATAAATCCTGTGAATCCTACATTCTGTAATTGTTGTTGTTGCTGTTGAGATATAGGCATGCCAAACTGATCGTTTAAACCAATTAGAGAAGGTAATATTCCTGTGCCTTGTCCGTTGTTAGCATTGCTGTTCCCTGCATTTCCAATTGACATACCACCAATTCCAACTAATGGAGGAAGGACTTGATAAGGTTGTTCGGAATTATTACTTGTCATCATTGTATAATCGGTCATATTGTTATTATTAGCTACCATATTTGGTTGTAGCGAAGATGAATGTCGCTGATAAGTTGCAGCCATCGTTGCGGATGGCGCTATAGATCCGGAGAACCGGTTAGACGATTGCCGTTGAGTATGCTGCTGTTGATGCTGTGAAACTTGTTGCAGCTGTTGTGGAGGATGCATCTGCTGCGGAGTGGGCTGTTGCTTTTGGTACATTTGCTGATACTGAGAAGATGATGGCAGCACAGAACCCATGATACTACTTGAAGTCGGTAATTTATATTGTCGAGGAGAGGTGGATGTCCCTCCATCTGACACCGTACTAGCCGATATATTGCTAGTAATATTATTACTTGTATGACTGATATGATTTACATTAGAACTTACAGTTGTAGAAACAACTTCAGACCTATGAAATTTTTTATAATCCGAAAAGACTTGAACAGCTCGTTGAATAAGATTGTTAAGATTTTGTCCGCATGAACCACGTGGAATGGGTAAAGGGGATAAATCAGGTATTTTGGGCTTTACTTTCTACAATTAATTATCGGGACATTAATCAATAGTTTCGTAAGCTGTTATCAGATATACACTCTAAAAACTATAGCGCACTTACGTTTCGAGGGTTTCCGTTATATTCATCGGCTACCATTGCAAGATAGGCTAAATTTGCTTGAAGGCGCATTTTATACCTGTATAAAAATTGCAATTAAATAACATTAAATTATTAAAAATTTAGGTTTTATAAATTTTTACATACATAGTCAATTCTTCGTTTGGCCATTTATTGGTGTGATAATCGATACAAACACGAATCAGCTCGAAATTGACTTCAAGAATCTAGGTAAATTGAATCAAATGGAAGTTATAAGAGAGGTTTTATAAATATGGTTCAATAAGATTCCTTCCCAGTGTCCAATATTTTGGCATATCTACTAATTTCGGATGGATCATTCTGATCTTTAAAGACGGAATATTCATTAAAAAATTAAATACAATCAGATATCATAAAAAATGAAATATGTACCGCCTGCACGCATTTTTGAGTATAATCAACTGAATTATTACGGTTACAATAATTTAAAAATCGGTTAGTTTCACTATGAATTTGGAAAATATTAAGCTGCAAATTACCAAAATTTTACCATATTCAGGTGCTCTATTATTGTTTGGGTTATTATTACCAGTTTCACTCATGTTGGTGGAAGATGCGTTAGCAGGTGTGCTTGCGCTGTTATCTGCTCCATGTTTCACACTTGTATTTCTTATACTTGAGCCAACAATCGGAGTATTTTGTGTTGGCACGAGGTTACCGTTCGTTTCTAATCCTGGAGTAATATAAATACCTTTGGATGAAGTCGAACCAGTTGATGCTGAAGTTGTTGGTATTATTGCCTGTGCTTGAGGTGTTTGCTGTTCAGAAACAAGCCATGGATAAGTGGATAAGTGTCGAGTTTCATATCCAGCATTGATCTGTTGTGAACTAGGCGTTGAATAAGCATTGTTGCTATTTGACTGAAGATACGTGGACGAAAAGTCGTTATTCATTTTCCAAAATGTGTATTTTTTGCAATTCATATTTATGGTCATTTTTATGCAAAACTCTGGTTTGTACCACTTTGGTATTTTACTGTAACACAGAGTGGTTTTCATATACAATGTATCGATATGACAGCATGATACGTAGAAGTTTATTACGATACAAGCGCAAAGTTTACTCAGAACATCTTTTATTTTTCGGTATCCATAAATACCAACAATGACCAACAAGCATTGTAGTCCCAAGCCACAGTGCCCACGTTCTTAAATCATTTTCCCCTCTCTTCGCTAAAACGAAAATGACTATCAAGGTTTCAATAATATGGCAGCTAATGACAAATAGAACAAGAACCCGTAGGAGCTCTTGCCCAAATATTGATCTTAAAGTCTTGATAACTTCTGGTGCCGGAGAAGGATAAAATGCCAAAACAGCACAGAAAACAATTGTTAACAAAATTCCAATGAATCTTGATGATTCTGGAGGATTAAAAGGGGTATGAATGTTTGTGAAGTTGCTAGACGGCATGGGCGGAGGTGTTGTACTGGGCTAAAAGTTGAATTGCGATTAAATAAGATCGACATTTACAACTAAATTTTGTACAATACATACCAAAGATAAAGCTTCTTCGGCCTCTTTGGCCATTTCAGTCAATACCGGTCTAACCTGATCATAGCTTTTCAGCCGATTTTTAAATCTAATATGAACTTCATTTTCTGTTCCATCTGATTCCTTTGCTAACACAACGAAACCATCGGAATCTATATCTGTCATACGCGCACTGACGGCATTCTGAACTTTTCCAAAATACTTAGCATAGGTGAGAATTGTTTCAGGGTGCGTATTCATATAAGAAACTAAACGCGTCGCATGCGGGACGATAGGATCTTGTGTTTTACTAACATTCGCACGATGCATTTTGAGCAAAAAGTGATAAAAATATGTGGAGTAATTAAGCGAAGTAAAATCAAGCCAGGTATTTGATTTTTAAATCTTTAAACCTTTACGGAATATCACAGCCATTTTACAATCGGTTTTATTGGTTGGTGATTTCTATTTGATAGTGCTGTTACACAACCTTTTTGATCGGGTGAATAGTATCGGTATATCCGGTTATTCTTGTCTGGATACCCTACATGCGACTGTAATTAAGAATAGCCAATAATACCGTATTTCGTGGGCCAAACCCCCCCCCCCCCCTCTCGTAAAATAATTACCGGATAATATGGATATTCGATGGTGCATGCGGATGCATAATATATTATTATACTGTATTATGTATAACCTTGTCTATTACTGGCGATTGTTAATTATGGAAATATCCGTGTTGTACGTAGTGGTAGTATTGTTATACGTATATAAATTATATAAATAATAATTGAATACGTATCAAATTTGGGTGATCGACATATATATGATAAGGCCTATTTATAATGCAACGAATTTTTTTTGCTTTAAGCAAAAACCTGCTCATTCACTTAAGATTATAAACTTTAATAACACTAAAAAAAATTACAGTTTCCAAGTATAACTTATAAGAAGGTATATATGTAATTGATGCTTAAAAAGTATATAATTATAATTAGAAAAATTCTATTTTGACTCAAATTAAAATAATTTTTTTTAAAATTTAGAATTAGTGCAGTCTGTTAACGTTGATGGGTTTTTATATTAAAAAACCCTGCTTAGTATAAACATAATTTTGGTTTATACTAACCTTAAATTTTAAAGAATGTTATTTTGATTCAGATCAAAATAGATTTTTTTTTTTTTCTTTTAAGCAGTTATATTAGTATTTTATTAAGATTTTGAAATTACATTTGCAATTACATAAATATTTCTAATAATTAAGTTTAACATCATCTGATCATCCTAATAACACCTAAGTGCAACCTGTTATATTACTTTAAGCAAAAGTAAGTTGCTTGTCTAACTACTTAAAATTTATAATAAAAAGGTTTTCTTTCTTTTACAACAAATCTTAACATTGTTTTTATAGTTTCTTTTTTGATTTATTTTTTTTTATTTTGCTTTTATTTTTTTTTCTTTTATTCTTTGCTAATTTGGGTTTTTTTTTTTTTTAATACTTTTTTTTTCTTCTCATTCTTTTTTTTATTCTATTCATTATTTTTATTTATTTATTAGTTTTTTTATATTATATTTTTTATATCTGTTTTTAAAATATATTTTAAATTGTTTTTGTTATTAAATTTACTAATTATTATTTTAATTTTATATTTAAGAGTTGTGTTAATTTGTTTTGTATTTCTTTTAAAATTAGGGGTTTAATTAATATTACTTTTATTTTTATTTTTTTTGTTTTTATTTTTCTGAAAAGTATTGTATATAACACATATAGAAGAATTAAAATTTTTTTTTTAGTCTTTTCTAGGCTGTAATAATAATTATTTTTTGAATTTTCTTTTAAAGATTTCTTTATTTTTTATATACTATTAAGTGTATTTGTATTTTTTTATTTTATTTTGACATATTTAATATTTTGTTATTGTATATATATTTAATTTTTTCTGTTAAATTTTTCAGAACTAGAAGTTTATCTATCATATACTTTATAAATGTAATTCTACTAATACTATTTCTTTTTATTATATAATACATTCTCTTCATTATCTTTAGTCTTTTCTAAATCATAAATTATAATATCAGTTTTTAATTTTAAATCTTTAATTACTCTTGTTTCATTTTATCTTATTTTCAATCTCTGGACCTGAGAACTAAAAAAACTATAAATTAATTATATTATTTTTTAAAAAAATATTAAATTTATAAATTAAATAATTACAAAAACTAAAATTTAAAAAATTACAAACAAGATATGGCAAGACACTCTCTTCTATAAATCTTTTGACCAAAAATTGTTAAGAAGCAAAACACAAAAAAATTACAAAACCAACTAGGAAACAACACTTAAACCCTTAACAAAAAAGGAGCAGCAGCAAAAGTTACACCTAGCTAAGAAACAAAACACAAGCAGAAAGCATAAAAGTAGCATAGCTTAGGAAAACTTTAAAAAAAATTTCGACGAAAACAAAAATTTTGAAAAATTTTAGGGAATTCCTGTGATCCTATCATGAAGATCAATTCAGGTTACATGAAAAGTACCAAAACAAGTAAAGTAAACAAACAAACATGTATAGTAAGGCAGTTTACTAGAATAAGCATGTGACATAGCAACAACTAAACTAAAATAACCAATGGCTGAAATATATAAGAAAGATATTATAGAGTACATCAAAGGTATAGGAGACAGAAATCACAGATATATAGATTGCAAAATATTAGACCAAGTTCTTAAAACACCAACAAGAGAACCAAGTAATATAGAGTACATCGCAAAAGATTTGGCAATCTATGATCCAAAATACATTACACCACAAGACTTGCTAGTTTATGGTCAGGTATTAGAAGTCTTGAGAATAGCAGAGATAAGCTGGCTTAAGGAAGGGATAACTGACAAATGGGCAGAAAAACTGAGAACAATAAGCTACAACTTGAACCTTTTAAATATGACACAAAAGAAGAAGAAGCATATCAAGAAGAAAACAGAAACGATAAGGTAAGTATATCAATTGAATCTAATAAAACAAAAAAATCTACTAATAGAGAACAAAACAAAGAAAAAGAAAATAATTTCAAAGAGTTAGAGCAAGGACTAGAAACACTAGAAATACAAATGAAAGAGCTCAGTATTACTACATTACAACATCAAACAAGTCAAGTCATAAGTAATTGGAAATCTAAAGAAGAAATATCAACAAAAACTAAAGAAACAAATGTAGAAACTATAAATATAGAAATAATAGAACAAGAAGAAGAAACGAACAGTGAAGAAGATAAAACAATGTTTTCAACAGGGTCAATCAAACATAGTCAGTAGTCTCCAGATAATCGAATATGCAATAAAAATAAGTTCTTTAAAGCAAATATGCCAACATATGCCTTGCTAGGAGAATCCAAAGAAGAAAGAATAAAGTACGTCTAGTGGATTTTAGGAAAAAATCATCATATTAAAACAGTTAGAAAGATGTTCAAGAATGGAATTAATTAGATAGAAGTAAATTTTGACTATGAGCATAGTAGAGATGTGACAATAGACAGAATCAAGAGAAAAGAAGGAAAATGGCTTAAACTTATATTAGAAGAAACCAAAAACAAAACTCAAAAAACAGAACAGCAAAAGAAACATAATACCAAGAGAAGAAAAGAAGAAAGTACAAGACAAATTGAAACAAAGAAGAATAGTGAAACAGAAGAATCCAATGCCAAAAACAGGAAAAGAAAGAAAGAAAAATACAAAAACACAAACCAAGCAAAAGCAGAAGTTAAGATTACAAAAAGCTTTAAAATGGAAAAGAATTGAAAGACAGAAAACTATCTAATGATCTGGAATCTACTAGCAAATATCAATATAGAAGAGGTAGAACACATGTGCAGAAACATCAAAGATGTCAAGATAGAATAAATTAAGAGGTCCAAATACAAAGTGCTAACAATAGTACATGTGAAAAATCTAAGAGAGGAAAATATTCCATGGGCCTTGCCAATTGGCATGCACAGGCTAGTGAAAGTGTCCAAAGGCAATACAAATTACAGCCTACGAGATCAGTACAGTCTAAACACATCTAAATTGCTAGAGCTTCCAGGAAATGCATCTGAAGTGCTGTTACTACAATGCTTAAGAAAGAGAGGTGCTAAGTCAGTATACATACCAATGAACAGAAATGGAAATCAAAGAAGATCTGCAATAATTACTTTTGCATCAGAGAAAGAGATGAAGACAGCACAAACTAAGCCAATAAAGTTTAACAACCTCTTGTTATTCTGGCAAGATGAAACAAAAAAGAGAAAGCAAAGTAAAGAAGAAGAAGAATTTTATGAGAAGCGCACAACTACATATGATATAAACATAGACTTGGATGCAGAAGTGCATAAAAACAAGAGTAACAGAGAGGAAGAAGACACAAAAGGCTTCAATAAAAACAAAAAGAAGCATCATATACATTTAACAACAAGAGAAGACTCTCAAACATGAAGCCAAAACCTCTTGGAAAAAATTTTTGAAAGACTAAAGAGACTTGAAGCACAACAGAACAAAACAAGAGAGAAGATAAAAGAAGACCTTCCTAACCATTCTTAATGGCACCACAGTTAAATTAATGAGCATAAACCAAGAGATCAGAGAGTTCCTGTATAGTGAAAGAAGAATTTTCGAAGAAAGAAATACAGATGCATCTCTTGGCTATAATGAAAAAACAGGAAAAAAAGAGAAAAAGAAGATAAAAAACATGGAAACAAAGCATAAATGCCTTAAAGAAAAATGGAAACAAGGAAAAAAGGAAATAAAAATTGCATACCATAACATCAATGGACTGAAAACAAGAGGATGGAAAGTAGAAAACCTTCTAGAATAGGCAGAAAGAGAAAAGTTCACAATAGTAGAAATTATGGAAACGAATATTACAGAAAAAGAAGAAAAATTTTTACTGCATAGTTATAACACACAGTATAAGGGATACTGGACTAGTGCAGAAATAGATAAAAAAAAGAGCTCAGGCATAGGAATTCTAATAGATGAAAAGTGGAAAAAGCATGTAGAAGCAGTTAAAAGAGTTAGTGAATACATGCTAAAGGTGAGATTATACTTTAAACAATTAGAACTAGTAGTACTAGCAGTATATATCTCACCAAACAACAAGTCAATTAATAAGAAAATTTAGCAAAGAATTGTAGAGATAGTGACAAACAGAAAAAGATATACAAAAGTAATTATACTGGGAGATTTCAATCACACAGTAGATAACATATTAGATAGACAACATCTGCAAACATCAAACTACAAGAAACTGCCAATATTTAGTTAACTTAGAAGACAGAACTTTATAAATTCATACAGAAAT